GACAGAGAGAGAGAGAGAACAATGAGCCTATTAGAAACACTGACAATACATATGTTATTTCTTAATGAATGTACAAGGACCAACATAAATATTACCATTAAGCAGAGAAGATGTGAACATCTAAATCATGTTAGCCCGCTGATTGCTTTCTTATTTTTGTCCTTTTGCAACAATTTCATTTTCAAAGCATTTGATTCCTAACACTGATGCTCCAAAGCTATTGTGAATACACCACCTGAATACTTAATGAATTAAACAACAAACAAAACTGCTCATCTTTGTGCCCCCCAGCTAGCATCCCAAACTGGATATAATTAAAGGTGTGAACAAGCAAGTAAGGAAGTAATGAACCTGAAAAGTCAAGATTCTGAGAAATCCTAGGGCATCCTGCACTGCACCAGTTCAAATTTATCACTCATTATTGTCTTATACCACAAAGACACAGGTTCACATGCTGGTACTTTTCTCTAACCCTGTCCTCCAGCCTTTTTCCTTTTTATTGCTAGATAACTAATTTAAGACAACCACTGCTTGTGACAACTCCTACCCACTCACTGGTCACTTTCTTTCTTAACTCCTTAGAAAGATACTGACCTATAAAAGCCCTCTACCCCTAAAGTATGTTGGGATTTCAAAAATCCAAGGATGATTTTAAACATTTACCATGAATACACACATATACTCACTCACAAAAACTTAGTAAACAAAGCACAAGATGCTAACATTGCCATTTTACCAATGGTAAGATTACATTTCAAATGGTCCAAAGAACAACACTCCTACCACATACACACATTCTAATTTGAATCCAACCCTTTGATTGAAAGGGCAACGTCTAGCTCAGGATTTGCACACTTATAGTTCCTTGAGTGGTTGGTAAGAAAGGTCTGGATTCTAATGGAAGTCTGCAGGGTTTGGATATCTTTTTTGATGAATATTTGAAATTTCATATTTTTCTAATAAGAGAACTCTTGAAGTTAATGAAGAAAAGAAACTACTTCTTATGGGAAGCATTTCCATATATACATGCACATATACTTACAAATAAGTGTTTGCAATATTTGGTAACACCAAATAAGGAAAGCCTAAGACAGGTACAAGAATTCAGCAACACACACACACACACACACACACACACACACACACACACACACACACAAGTCTCCCTCTCATTGCTTTACACATATCAATCAAATGCATGGAGGAATGGATAGTAGGCAATAAAAGGTTGACTTTACTTCCAAAAGGTGAATTGACCAACTCTGTAGAACATGGCCTGTTGACTAGAAGATAGTAAGATAAAAGCCTGAGAATGTTCATGTCCCTTTGTACCCCTCAAACTCCCAATGACATTGGAAACAAAATACTGCATTGCAGCATCTGCCAGCGCACACTCACATGTCTAGCTTTGGCTGGCCAGCTCACCAAAAAATGTACATATTAAACATCTAGGCATATAAATTAAGTGCCCGGTGGCCACAGATCACTGGAACTAATGAAAAAAATTTGTCAAGGCCAAAGTATTTCTGTCCATATATAATGACCTCTATCAAGACCGCCATTCCTTACTTGTGGTATACATAGATAATTTGTTTCATTTTTTGAAAAATTAACATAAGGTATTAAGATGTCAAGGGCTAAATGTAGCAGAGTATCTCTTCAAGGAAGGAGTAGTATTTTGTCTACATGTGGGAAGAGAATCCACCCAACAATAAGAAGATAGTATAAAGAGAAGAAATCAAACCAAAGAAAAGGATTTGCCCGGAGGAAACCCTCTCATTGTTCACAGTAACTCTAACTTGAGAAAAACACCTCAATTCATCCACAAATCCTTTTAGAAATACTTAACAAACACACACACATAGTGCCATTCACACAATTATTTCTAGATCTGAAATTTCAAGTTGATTATTCCCAATAGAAATTCTCAAATTAAAATATCTGAAGTCTCAAACACTCTTTGCAAGACTGAGTTTGGAACTAAAATGCATACACGAAGTTCTTTCTGTTTCTTTCTTTCTTTTTTAAAAAAAATTATACTATTACTGCCTCACAACAGTCTAGCCTTTCATCATATAACACTAATATTCAATGAGACAAGGACGGACTATAGGAAGAGAAAAAAGTTTTAAGGCTTTGCGCAAGCCACGGAACAGAAGCAAGCCCATCTACATCTGGCCAGCATGGCTTGAATGAGTGGCAGGAATGAATGGGACTAAGATCCAAATGAATGGTTAAGTTATTTGTTTGGTTTTTTGAAATGAAATATTAAAATCATCTCGTAAATCAATGATTCTCAAAGTATTTTTTCAGCTACTTTCCCACCTATGTTCATCTGACTCTATTAAAGATTTAAATATTAAATGATTTAGCCATTATATGACTATTATATATATGTATATACATGTATACATTCTGATCACTAAAACTGCAATGTAATCAGGTGTTTTTTGCAGAAATATTTCCAATTAGATTTTCACTTCTTAATAAATGCACAATCAGTCTTATGCTTCTGTAAAGGCACACCTCCATATGCAGGTAGTAGGCATTAATATTTTTTAAGACAAAGAAGCAAGAAAGGTCAGCGGCAGAACCACATGTCCTTTTTTTTTCTACAACCCCAGTCAAGAGAACAGTTCTTATGGAAATTATTTTCCCCTAGCTAAAAATTGCCAGAAAATAAAAAGAAAATTACACTAGAGATAATTAAAAAAAAAACTACTCTATTTTCAAGGCAACATATGCTTATGTACTCAAGATATGAGACAAACGTTCAAATGCAGGACCAAAAATATAAGTTTATTTATTTTTACCTCCAGAGTTAAAACAAAAATATCATAATCCTTCAATAAGAAGACAAAACAAAAAAGAAGCATTTGCAAGGAAAAGAGAATGATGGTGGTAGTGGGGAGTGAGGTGGAGATCTGCAAAGTGAAGAGTAAAATGTAAGCGTACTTTCAATAAAGGCAATTACATTTCCTGACCTTGTAGTATATTTCAGTATTTTTTAGCCCCCTATTTTGGTATTTAAAATTAGCTACCTGATTATGTAGCTATATTGTCCCCTAGGAAGAAAACAACTGATCACCATTTTAGTTATTTTTACGCTACCCTTATTCACTCAAGTACTATATCTTTCAGTCCTTCTGATACCCACTATCACTGGGGAAAAGAGACGATTAGTAAAGCATGCTAATATAGAGAAAAAGCGAGATGCCCATCATCACCCAACACACTCATGGGTCCCACACATTCAGAGACACTAAAAAAAAAAAAAATTGGCTTTCACTCAGTTTATGCCATGACCAGACTAAATGCCTGATTGAAGACAGCAGTTGTGAGAGTGAAGCCTCATAGAGCCTCTGCCTGGAGGCATGGAGAGGGAAGGGAAGCAAAACGCTAGAATACAGCCCTTCGTTTATTATGTTTTAAAGTAATTTCTACTTGAGATGTAAAATGAGAGATACAATGAACTCTTCAGAACTATAGTATCGACATCTGATTTAGTAAAAATACCAGTATCACCTAACACAAAATAATTGCTTAGGGTAAATCTATTCTACTTATATTTTTCCTATGAATATTTGTTGGAAATTTCTAAGAAATCATTTACAGAACCTATCGACTGTGGGAGTTCACTATTATGCTTCCGTCAACTTCATTCAATATAATTTACATTTTTTCCAAATGGCCTCACAGGATTCCTTGCGATTTTTAGCACGTACAATTTCACAGCAGGGAAAGGAGAGAGAGAGAGAGAGAGAGAGAGAGAGAGAGATGTCTTACCCTCCCTTCCCCCTCTCCTTCTCTCTGTTTTTTAAACAAACAAACAAAAAGAAAAACGGGAGACAGAACAGATGCTTAAAAATAGATTTCCAAAAATCACTGTAAACCGGAGTTAGAAATGTAATTAACACCTATTTATAAAGAATAATTAAAGTTGGGCTGGCCACAAAGAACAGCAAAGATAATCGAGGTCCTGTCTCTCCCCCCACCTTTTTTTTTTTTTTTTTTTTACACTGTTTGCAGTGTGTTCTCATGATAGCCACCTGCTCCCTACTCGGCTTCTCCTCTGTTCGTTTCCCCGGCAACCTTTCATTGGGTTTTCCTCCCAGCTATCGCTTTCAGTTGGGCTGCTCGGTCTAATCTTATTTGTTTTACACCCATCAAAACAAGCAGCCAGACAAAGGCAATCCTCTAAGAATGGGAAAAAGACCACAGCTTTGTTATAACGTCTATGCACAGTGAAAAGTCCTCCTTTGCTTCTCTAGTGAAAAATAAGTGAGATGGATATGAATTTACACTGCCTCCCTCCGCCCCCAACCCTCCTGAAAGCTATTGCTGGTGAAAATTCAAAGTCAGAGTGGGCACTCCGACCATACCATTTTATGCCCTATCTTCGGGGTCAACGTCAGGCAACAAGGGTGGCACTCAAGGAGTTTCCCTGCTTCTTTTTCCAGAAAAAGATGATGCTAAAAATAGATTTACTACTTCGGCAGAAAGGTTTTCCTTTTCCTCATCCACATCCAAAAGTCCTGTCTCACAACTGCATCTGCTGGTACTGAGTCTCACCTCCTCCACCCCTCGTTCCTCGTTCCTGCCTTCCCCACCACTCCTAGCATGAGACTGAAAAAGAAATGTGCCTTTAACTTTAACAGTCGTGTAATTCAGTTGAAGGCTCACAGAGGCGGTGGACACGCCAGCCAACAGTGACAGTGACATTGTGATTGTCAAAAAAGACACCAACCTTGCTTGGCTAAAATATGTGTTCGATGGAAGAGGCAGTGTTTGCCTTGTGTGCATGCAGTGCTATTATACTTGACGGTGGATTCTGGTTTTCAGAAAAAGAAATATTGATAAGCACACACACATACACACACACACAGAGGATCAGAACAGTGATTTACGATGCACAGTCCACCATTATTACACACACACACACACACACACACACACACGCATGGCTGGAACCTCCAAGCTGCCTTCCTTTTTTCACTTACCATCTTCAAGCCATTCCACTCCATCTGTGATCAGAAGAAGATGGACCCTCACACAGTGTGTCAAAAGCGGAAAGGAGCGTTATGTAAAAGCTGACATTCCTTCTTACAGAGCTGCTGCCCAGAGAAGGAAGCAACAACTCAACACGCCAGGCACCGCTACACATACAAGCCGCCTCCTCTTTTTTATGAGGTCATGACAGGAAACTCTTTGAAATACAAGATGCAGCATTTACTGAACCCAAATAAATCACTCTCTTTGCCGTTTTGACTGCACAGTCCCCCAAAACGCAACTGCCCATCTCAACGTTGAGCATCCAAGAGCTGCCTCTCGAGGTTTAAATCTCCAGCACCGAAATGGAGACATTCCTAACCCCGCTGCATCCACACCCAGTCCCACAAAACCCGGGCATGTAGACAAACCCCTTTTCTCTTACAAAAAGAAAACCTTTCTTTTGCCATACTGGTCTCAAGTAATATAATCTCTTTCAACAAACCAGCAATTATTTCAGCTCACCACCCCCCTCCGCCTTTATGTTCAAGGGAAAACTGACAACGACCTGTTAAAAATGACAATCTATTTTCCCACTGCTTTTCAATAAAAGGACCTACCGCACTCTACACAAAAGATATAGTAAATGTAGGAACCAAACAGCAGCAGAGAACTAAATTCTCGTGCAAGCATAAGACTGGTCAAGGTGTACATGTTGTCCTCCCTCCAGCAACACAAACAACAGATTATAAATCTAGTCATACCTACCATAACCATTCTTATTGGCAAATATTGGGTCTTGCAGAGCTTCGACTCTTCTCTTAATGTTTGCAAAGGTTTCAGAATATATATTTAAAATGACTACTATTGTTATATATATATACATATATATGTATATAAATATATATATATATTTATTTAAAGATCCACAAACACAGTGTGGATGATTGTAAAGTAAATCAATTATTGGGGATGGGAGTGAGAGAGAAGGAAAAAAAAAAAAGAAAGAAGGAGCAGTGAGCTGAAACCCCCGATTCTAGGATGTAGATAAGAACAACTGAACAGAGCCTTGCTGAAATTGGCTCTAAGCTTCCCCTTTTTACATCCATTTATGGGACCATCTGTCAGCCGAAGCCAGAATCTGATTGGCTGGGGAAACGAAGAGAGGCGTTGCAACATCAGGTGCTATTTAAATTAGCTACTGCCAGATTGACGATGTTAATGATTTGGTGACCTCTACAACAACAGAGACCAGATTTCTGAACTGCTTCTTGTGTCTGGTAATTAAGGCCCGGCTGAAGCAACAACAGCCATGCTCGTATTTTTACCTTTCCCTCCTCCCAGTTCAAAAGTACTGTAACAACTGCAGGTCACCAGAGGATTGCAAACCTTAACTGTGGGAGTGTCCTTCCTTTCCCCTGTCCTAAGGGATGTACCATCAGATACTGACTGAGGGCTTTTCCAGTGTAGAGTATTTTCAACTACCTTATCTTTCCCGACAGTTGCTTTCTAGCGAAATGCATATTTAATGCTCTGCCTCTAGGCTTAAAGATACAACAAAAGCACTTTAATGTGCTAATACTTCTACATTTTAACTTTATTATTTCCTGATATTGCTGATTTCTAGTAAGTAGTGCTCCTTCTGCAGCTAACATGGCCAACATTTCAAAAGCATGCAAGTTTGGGGTGAAGCTTGCCCCGTGAACTAGGTTCATACCAGCTTGCCTCAGAAAACTACTTCCTAATAAACAAAAAAGAAAAAAATCTAGAGGGGTGGGGTAGCTGTCAGCCTCTACCTTTCTGCCTTCTGTCTGAGCTTTTCAAAACAGAGAATGATGAAGATTTATTTAAATGGATTTATTTCTCAAGTTGGATAGGAGCATGATCTGCATTTTAAAAGATCTACTAAATTATATTCCCCCTTTTGCTTTCCTTACTGTTATGAAGGTAAAGCATGCTTTTGAAATAAAACGGCTTTATTTCATTACCTGTGTAAAGCGCTCATCTTGTTTAACTGAATGAGCGATTTTGCTTCTCTCCTATAAAGGATGTCTTTTTCTTTAACCTCGTAAAAGATTTGCAGAAAGACATTTAGCAAGTGCATGGTGATGTGTATAGTTTGTCTGCCTATGTTATGCGTTTCATAACCTGTATGGTACCAAGCTGTCAGTAGTATGTTTTGTTGTTGTTGTTCTTGCTCTGGTTTGGTTTTTTAAAGTAGTGCCTAACAAGTTTATGCCTCTCACATATGCAAAAGTCAAACTATTTATTTAATCAATAATTTAATGAATTTGTTCCTCACTAAATATACAGAGGTGACATATTACCAAAGATAAAGTTCAACATTATCTTTCATCTTTGGCTGGAGTTGATAGCAAGATAGGGCTAAGGACAGTAGAAATACAGGCTGAGGAATATACTCTATTTTGGGGCTTCAAAGTCCAAGAATAAATGGGTTTATGAAAAATTGTTAGAAAAGAAACTTTTACATTTTTCAAGATTACAACTATTCTCTTTAAAATATAATTTCATGAACACACACATATATACATATATATGCTTTAAAAATACAAATACACTATAAAACAATGTATACTAGGTACACTATTAGACTTGATAATAAGTAAGTTCAGCTATTACAAATGAAAATACATGAAATAGAAAAGTAGAAATGTAGAAACTGCAATTCCTTCAAGTGGAACAACTTGAGTAAGTAAAATTTTAAAATAATTCCTTTAGCAAATGTACAATGAGTTCTATGAGTCACAATAGAAGTATACTATCTGCTGAACTGGGTATGAAGGATGAATTCATAGGTTAGGTGTTGTAAATGGCTAACAAATGTACATGGGGTGGTACTGTGCCCCAAATCAACAACAGAAACTCCGTGTGTGATATCAACAGTATCAAAATATTGTGAAAAGTAAGTATTAATACAATACTAACATACACACAAATAAAAACAGCTGGCTTGGAACAAAATATTTGCTTACTATCTCTGCAGGTTATAAAAGATGGAATTTTTAAAAAACCTTTTTCTCTCATCTATTCTAACCTCAGCACACTTAGTGAGTCATAAATTAACATTAGCTATGTCAGAAGATATTCTGTCTACTTTTCTGAAATAGAAATTGTATATTACAGTGTAAATAATTAGCTACCTTTCCTAGGCTAAAAAAAAACATGCATTTTGTATATTGATCACTTTTCCAAAAATATCCACTCTCAAGTCTTCAAAGGAATCCTCAAACAAATGCACAAATGTCCTCAGAGGCCTTTTCTCTAAAGACAAAAGCACAATCCTATTGTTGGGAAAAGTCAACCTTATTATCACATTTCCAATAGTACCATTCATCTTTCAGAGTGAGGGGCTGACCGCTACATCAGTGGTGTGACATTTGTAAAGCAACAGATTCTCAATATATTATCTCAAGAATCAGGCAGGCGAGTCTCCCAGTCATGCATGATTTTTTTTTTTTCACCACAATCCTCCAGCACCACAGAAAGAAACTTGTCTCACTCAAGCAGCTAAGGCAACCTAAAAATGATATCCCAGAGCTGTGGGGCTGCCAGCGCCACTGTATCCCTCTTACCATAAATGAGCAGTTTCTTGATTCATTAATAACAATTTCCCTTAAAAGAAGTAATCTCATATCAGTCAGCCCCTTGCCACCATGCACACATCCCAAAGGTTGCAGATATCTCAGCATCAGTCGCCGGCAGCCAGCTTTCCCACACAGAGTCCAGATGGACTGTACCAGAAGCCAATTCAGCGTTAATAACTGCCTACTCCGTGCAGTGGAGAAGCCTTACGTGGCACAATGGGCTAGGAAACAGCAGCCGGCTGAAACTGCAAATAATAATAATAATTTAAAAAACCAACCAAATTCTCCAAAAGCACCCAAAGGAAGGAACGGAAATGGAAGCATGATTTGTATTTCCTTGACTTCCATGAGGAAAAAAAAAAAATCCTTCACAAACATAGGAAATGAAGAGAAGGGGGGAAAAACAGATGCTGCCCAGAAAAAAGTGACAAAATATTACCTCATTATTTAACAAAGCAGCATTAAGCGTCCTGCTGATTTCAAACATCTTGCCACAGATTTTGTTTTAAGAGAAACAGATAGAATCCTTTGCAAAGCACTCCGTCTGCAAAGGGTTCTTCAATTTTCTTGTGCGCCACGGAACAGTCAATATATTATTTCCCTAGAGTTCGCACATTAAAACCTCTAGTCAGTGAGCTGAATTTTCCCCTTATCTCACACACAGTAGACTCCTGTTATATGTACTGCTCTCTTTGCAAAAGCAGCCTGCCCCAAACATGGCTGGTGTTTAAACTACTCTTTAAAGTAACAGTTCACTATATAACCACCAGGTGGGTAGAGTGCACAGATTCAAATGTACCATCTTAAAAGACTGTGTGTGTGTGTGTGTGTGTGTGTGTGTGTGTTTCTTTTCTTTTCTTTCTATTTTTTTTCTCTTGGAATAGCTTTTGGATATAAGATATGACATGAGAAACGCCAGCATCCTAATAGGCAAGATTGTCCCTTACTATATCTTGTCTAAATAAATAAAATTCCTCCTCCTGGGTTAATGTGAGGAAACAAAACAAAATAACACACCACCAACCAATTCTAATACGAACTGTGAAGAATGAAACACAAACAAGCTTTGTTTCATTCAGCAAAGGATGGACAAGGAAAATATGACTAGCACAGCACAAGGGAGAAAACTAAAAATCCCATGAAAACATTTTCCTTTAGCAAAATGAGAAATATATCCACACGTGATGAAAACCCGATTCAAAAGTGTGCATGCAGAGGAAACACACACAAGATGGAGGCAAGAGTTTAAAGGTATAACTTTTCTTCTGAGTAAAACACTAGGTTTATTTGATATGGTCTCTACAGACAGGAAATAACCATAAGCTTAAAGGTAAAGACACTGAAAAAAGAAAAAAAAATCCTAAGTATCCCGTTTAAAAACACAATTATATGAATAGTTATAAACAACCATAACAGCAAACTAACCATGTATTTTTACCCAGGACTGTCCTCCCTTAAGATCTGGCTTGAATTGGAACATTTTTGTCATACACTATTTGGGATGTATAGCTAACCTGGTGTCTCCTTTGTACCACTAAGTTACAATTATTCTGCTCCTCTGCTAGGAATAAGGGGAATATCCCAAGTTGAAAACTCTATGTGATGGCAGAGGGGTATGCTAAAAAGATATAGAATCACCTAAACAAAAATAAATTACATAACTTATATTGTTGTATGGCTTGATTTTAAGGAGAATCTTATTACTTACAAAGCATGCATACACTACTCTATGTTCCCATGTGTCTAAAATGGAG